CATGTATGGCATTGGTATTGGTGTGACTTTTGAATTGATTTTTTCGCTCTATTTTAAACTAATTTGAAATTTTAAAAATTGCCTGCACATCAGCATCAAAATACCTTTCTAATGATATATAATTGTTTATACCTTAGAAGTACAGTTTAGCCGTAAAAGGGGTGTAAAGGAAACATGATTGCCTATTTATATAATTGATTTATATGAAGTTTTTTACAGCTACTGCTTTAGTTTTAATGAATTCTGGTCCAGAATCGTTTGTAGTTGATTGTAGTTTTAAAATTTTTTTTAGTTAAAAAACAAGTTCATAATGCGTTTTTTTAATTATATGAAGTTTTTTACAGCTACTGCTTTAGTTTTAATGAATTCTGGTCCAGAATCGTTTTTAGTTTATTGTAGTTTTAAAATTTTTTTTAGTTAAAAAACAAGTTCATAATGCGTTTTTTTAATTATATGAAGTTTTTTACAGCTACAGCTTTAATTTTAATGAATTCTGGTCCAGAATCGTTTGTAGTTGATTGTAGTTTACGTTTTTTTTTTTAAATTTATATGAAGGTTTTAACAGCTACAGCTTTAATTTTAATGAATTCTGGTCCAGAATCATTTGTAGTTGGTTGTGGTTTTAAATTTTTTTTAGTTGAAAAATAAGTGCGTAATGCGTTTTAGTTTTAATTTTATATGAATTTTTTACAGCTAAAACTTTAACTTTGATGAATTCTGGTCTAGAATCGTTTGCAGCTGATTGTAGTTTAAAAAATTGTATTTTAGTTAAAAAATAACTGCATAATGCGTTTTTGTTTTTAATTTAAATGAAGTTTTTTACAGCTGCAGCTTTAATTTTAATGAATTCTGTTTAGAATCATTTATAGTTGATTGTAGTTTACGTTTTGTTTTTTAATTTATATGAAGGTTTTTAAAGCTACAGCTTTAATTTTATTGAATTCTGGTCTAGGGTCGTTTGCAGTTGATTGAAGTTTAAAATTTGTTTAGCTCTAAAATAAGTGCGTAATGCGTTTTTTTTTAAATTTATATAAAGTTCTTTACAGCTACAGCTTTAGTTTTAATGAATTCTGGTCTAGAATAGTTTTTAGTTGATTGTAGTTTAATTTTTTTTGTTGAAAAATAAGTGTATGCGTTTTTTATTTATATGGAGTTTTTACAGCTAAACTTTAATTATAATAAATTGTGGCCTAGAATCGTTTGTAGTTGATTGGAGTTTAAAATTTTTTTTTAGTCGAAAAATAAGTGCGTAATGCGTTTTTTTAATTTATATGAAGTTTTTTACAGCTACTGCTTTAGTTTTAATGAATTCTGGTCCAGAATCGTTTCTAGTTGATTGTAGTTTTATATTTTTTTTAGTTGAAAAATGCATAAGTGCATAATCTGTTTTTTTTTATATGAAGTTTTTTACAGCTACAGCTTTAATTTTAATGAATTCTGGCCCAGAATCGTTTGTAGTTGATTTTAGTTAAAATTTGTTATTTAGTTGAAAAATAAGTGCGTAATGCGTTTTTTTTTATTTATATGAAGTTTTTTTACAGCTACAGCTATAATTTTAATGAATTCTGGTCTAGAATCGTTTGTACTTGATTGTAGTTTTAAGAGTTTTTTTTGTTGAAAAATAAGTGCATAATGCGTTTTTTTTTTCATTTATATGAAGCTTTTACAGCTATAACTTTAATTATACTGAATTCTGGTCTAGAATCGTTTGTAGTTGAGTGCAGTTTTATGTTTTTTTAGTTGAAAAATAAGTGCATAATGCGTTCTTTTTTATTTATATGAAGTTTTTTCAGCTACGGCTTTAATTTTAATGATTTCGGGTCTACAATTGTTATATTTGAAAAACATACATACATGCAACTTATGTTTCCTTGTTCAGGAAACTTTAAAAAAATATATTTTAATCCGCGAACTCGCGGACAACAAAGAAGAACACAATTTGAGTTCGTTTGCGAACTATGCAAAAGACAGAACTGAACTTTATTTGTAATATCACTCTTATTTATATATTTACAATCATTTACTTAAGAACTATTTCACCATAAGGCGCTGGCATTGCATCATGCTATGATGAAATGCCAATGTCTTGGACAAAGAAGATATTAGTTACAATTAAATGGAATTTTCCATTCAAAGCGGAAAAAAGCATATCAATTTCATTCATGGTCAAAGTCAAATGTAATTTCAATTATTCAGCTGCATAATTGCTGAGTATGCAAAATTACACTATGGATCTGCAAGATACAAATTATGCTTTTTCCAATAAGCAATATTGTTTATATTTCTCATTGTGCCGCTGTGTGTGGTCTGCCGTTGACTCCCCCCTCTCTAAGATGAATCGTCCCCGATTCTTCATTATTTTCTGTTAATTTTTCTTTTTGATTCAATACAACTTTGAATGTATTTTCTTGAATTTCTATATTTTTGTTTTGATTGGCAGTTTTATGCGGTTTTTTGAATTTGATGTAAATGTAAATTACCAAAATTATGCATAAAATTATGACCATATACAAAGTAGATAAATGAATTTTAACATTTTTATCTTCTTTGCCTATTATATTTATATTTTCCAATTTTAATTGTTTATTGGTTGTTTCAATATATTCTAAACTTTCAAAATCGTTAACATGATTATTTTTTAAATAATTCCAAATTTTTGTTTCAATATTTTCACAGGTTTTATTATTTATTACAGTCAGGGTTCGGATTTGCCTCATTTTAGCCCCTCGCTCGCTCGTTAGTTTACTCCGAGCTAGCGCAACTCACGAGCAACACGCNGCGAGGCTGTTTGCAAACGAGCACTCGTTAAGTACGAGCGCACGCGCTGAGCAGCCAGCGAGCGAGTAAACAAACGAGGGCAGCGCAAGAGTAGAGCGGCAAGCAAACGAGGGCCTCATTTGCTCTGCCCTCGCGAGGGCGTCGTTGCGAGCGAGGCACTCATTTGCAGCAGCAGACGAGCGAGGCGAGTAAACGAGCGAGGCAAACGATGCGAGCAAACGAGCGAGGCAAATGAGGCAAGCAGATTAGACAGGCAAACGCGTTGTTTGGTCGGCAAAAATGTATGGGATAAAAATTGCAGCAACTAAGAATTTCGAGTAAAGGATTGTATGCACGCATGCAGATATGTATATACATACATATGTATATACACATATGTTTGTATATATTTATGTATATATTCTCATGCTCAGAAGAATAGATTCGTGCTATTTTGACCAGTTTTATCTACTAGGTAGGCACATATGTGCATACATATTTATGTAGGTATAATGTTTTTAATGTTTAATAATTTCTTATAAAATTTCAACTTAAACACTTAGGTCTCTTTTTATGCGGTTCTTTTTTATGCGGATTTGAATTTAGGCGGGTTTTCAAACACTTTTTTTGCTGTAGCGATTTTGCTTTTTTGAGAGCTTTTATTACTTTTTTTTCAATATGTAAGGGGCAATGCTTCTGATAAATAATTTGTCTTTGTATTCTTACATACAAGTAATTACTAAGTAATTTGACTAAGTAACTATGTTACATATGTATAAATGAGAATATAATATTTATAAAAATCATTATTTTGTCTTTCATTTCATAAATGAGTAGGACATCAGCATTTTCAAATGAATATTCGTGGTTTAGCCCCATACATATGTATGTATGTAGGATAATACAAACTACTATTTGATAATTAAGGCTGGTCCACATAGAACTTTCGCGTTGACTTTGTAGTTGGCGTTGGTTTGACAGAACGCAAGTTAAAAGTATGCGTTCTACAATGAAGCTTGGCAGAGACTACTTTGGCCACTAAATTAACATATTAACGAGAGATAAATTAATATTTCATATCAATAATTGCATGAAAAATTATATTTCTTGCCTTCATTTGATTAAAAAAAAAACATTCCATTTAATTTTATTTATTTGCAACAGCTGGCGACCGACGCAGCGATCTTTCTGCTTTGTATTGGCCTTAGCGTTGCCAAATTTTGGATATGTGGACGGCTGCTTTGAAATTCGACGCCAACGCAACGCCAAAGTTGTATACGAACCGGTCTCTATTCTTTGTTTACGCAAATTTTCCCATGTCTACATATCCATATATACATGCATACATATGTACATATGTCCTTGAACAACAGGCCACAAATAAATTTTTTCACCAAGGACTATATTTCATTCAGGTATACAGCATAACTGCTACAAGTAGCAAACTATTTTGGGGGTGTTAACAAGTGCTTACTTGTTTTTTGTTTCTGCGGCACAAACGATTATAATATCTTCGTTATTTACTTTTCTCTGTAGAGACAAAATACATGCATATGTACATACAAACATAAATGCATATATACATAAATACGTACATACAAACATATATAAATATGCATGTGAGGTGTGTACACATGTATGAATATAACTCTAAAAAATAATTCATTCCATAATCTATGCTTATGTATGTAATCAATTATATTTTTTGCTTTAAATGCCGCCCTAATATAATACTTTACATATATGTATGCATGTGTACATACAATTATTAACATACTTTCGTACATAATCTATTGACATACATTCCCACATTTTTATGCACAAAAATGCATGTGTTGTATAGTACACTCGGAGCGCTCGCTCGTCTTTCCTAGCAGAGTGAGTATGCAGACAGCTACTCGCCTCGCACTGCGAGCGAGGCAACACACAACAGCCTCGCTCGTTTAATAGGAGCGCGAGCAAACAAGCAGCGCTCGCTCGTTTGGCGAGCGAGCCAATCTTATCGTGCCTCGCCTCATTGCTGCCACGAGTACGAGCTGCGAGCGCCTCGTTGTCTGCGAGGCATTGAGTAGGAGTTTGCTCGCTCGCTCGCTCGAACTCCGAGTTTTTGCCCACCCTGATTACAGTATTATTTTCAAATGTTACTAAATATGTTCCTGATAAAGTTTGATTTTCTACAATATTTTCTCCTGAAAGCAGTATTGCTCCTGGTTTTGTTATTTCAATTTGGAAATTTCTTTCTTTCATTTTCTTACATTTTCCTTGTTTTCTATTTAAAATTTCTGATAAACATGTGCTTTGCTTGTTCAATTTACAACATGTATTTATAATTTCTGTTTTACAATTTTGCACATTAAAAAATTCATCATTACATTTTGTTATATTTTTATCAATAATAGGCTTACCATCTAGTTGTGCAATAGCTCTAACTTCGTAGTATTTACAAGTTAATTCAGTTTTTGGATATTTTATATAAAGTACAAGTATTTTAAATTTTGAAATATCCATT